CTCACCTTTAAAACAAACTTCCTCTCATCTTCCTGGCCGCCCATTTTCTGTGCCCCTGAGTTCTCGCTGTACCCATCTCTGTGTAATCACTTCTTTAAAAAAAAAAAGAAGAAGAAGAATGCAAGTAAACGCCACATGTTTAAGCCTATTCTTCTTACCTCACGGACTGGCATTTTATTGATTTCCTTGTCCCAGAAGTCATGTTCAGACTCGGTTCCTCCAAAGTCAATCTTGTTTGTTTGTATTTATCAGCCACCTAGCAACACAGTCTTGAGGAAACTCTCCCAAACAATCGCTACCTACATGCATTTCTACCATGTTGTGGTGGTTTTTTCCAGCGACACAAACCTCTCTATCTTTCCATCCAGTGGCAATTATCACAAAAGTTGAGAAAGGACCATCGCCTTGTCTTTTGCCTCTGGGAAAAATCAGGCCTGTGGAAAAGTTTGTTCCTGCTAGGTGTTTTTCCTTGTTTTATCTCTCCAGTTAGACTTCTGTTGTCTTGAAAGGTGCAAACATTTAGATGAAGGGAGCTTGATTGCAGCTGGCAACCTTTGAGGACTGTCTTTCCACTTGGGCGGGCTGACATTAACTTCCGTGTGTTCCCTCAACATGTGAGGTTGGAAGGCTAAGATGCCGGAACAGTTTTCTGTGACCCTTTGTCCTGGACTGATCTTTTCTTAGTTATTGAATCAGATGGGGGAGCAAATTATATAAACAGAAGAAATCTTCCTGCTTGAAAAACTTGAGCTGTACACAGCTCAAGTATTATCCCCGACAATGTCACAGAACTTGTTGGCTAAATCTGTTTAACAACTCGGGCCTGGAGACACCTTTTGGGATGTAGTAAAAGAATCTCACCTGGCAGCTGAAATCTCAGTACCTAAGTAATGAAATCGTGTCTGGCTTTAATCAACAGAACCATGGCAATAGTCCGGCAGGCTAGCTTCGTTTTTGTCGTTTTCTGACAAGTTATATTTACATAGGTTGTGTTCTTCAAATGATACTCATGTGTTTCCTACCTTGTGAGACACATTCTATCAGTTTGAGAAATGCACCTATATTGGTTCACTGGAATATATGCTCACATATGGAGGTAGAGTTAGCAATATACCTCCTTATAGTCTGCCCAACCTCTTATGATTCTGCTTATGTTTTCCTTTTCTTCCTGTCAATTGCCATTGCTTACTTAGCTTCTTTCATTTATTTTCCCATTTTTACTTTCCATTGTTCCTAGTTTGTGTTTGTTTGCCAAGTTTACAGTTTGGAGAGAGAAAGGATAATGTTAGATGGGAATGAGTTTGCTTTCCCATAGTTAAAAAATGTTCTGCAATTGACGGTGGTGATGTAGAAACACAGTAGATACTTCCTTGTCTTTGGCTTTACTTTCTCTGATTTCAGTTACCTGCAACCAATCCAAGTTTGAAAGTTTTGAGAGAAAATTCCAGAAATACAATTCATAAATTGTAAGTTGTGAGCTATTCTGAGATTTCTGATGAATCTCTAAGCCCTCCTTGCATTTTGGATTATCCCTCCACCTCTGTGTCCACGACATACATGCCACCCGCCCACCTGTCCTTTGGTGCCCTTCCTGGTTGTCAGACTGACTGTAGCCACATGATAGTGCCTATATTCTAGTCATCTTTATTTCACTTAATGACCCCCAAATGCAAGGCCAGCAATGCTAGAAATTTGAATTTGCCAAAGACATGCTCTGGAGTGCTTCCTTTAAGTGAAGAAATGAAAATTCTGTACTTAATGAAAAATGAGAAAAGTGTATGTTAAGGTTGTTAAGGTCTAGATTAATCACTATTGAACTCTTAACTCGATTTGCTTTGTAAATTAAAACATTTGTATACATAAAATAAAAATAAACAAATCTTTAAAAAAAATAGCAACCTGATGTCATGATGAGCTAACTTCTGAATACAGCAATGAGAAGCTGAGCTGCCCATTCAAAAACAGAAAATGTCTCCTGGGAGCTAGCTTAAACTTTAAGTTCTGAAATAAATTTCAGCTTTATATAGCTATGATATGTATAATATATACAATAAAATTCACACACAGTGTACATTTAATTTTTTGTTGTAGGTGGTATTTTCCTATTTTCTATGAAAGGACACAGTCCAAGTTATCCAGTAGATGGCCCAAACTGAAGATACTATCAAACATTTTATGTATACAAATGTTTTGCCTACTTGTATGTATGTGTACCATGTGCATGTCTGGTTCTCAAGGAGGCCAGGAGAGGGCATCAGATCCCCTAAAAGAGTTTGGAACCACCACGTGCATCCTGGGAATTGAACCCTGGTTGTCTTTAAGAGTTGCAAGCACTCTTAACCACTGAGTCATCTTGCCAGCCCCAAGATTGCTGTTTTTAATCACCTTCAAATTCTGTAAGTATTATTCAGTCTTGACAGAGGCATGTCAATGTATAAGGTGGTATCAATTACTTGGCAGCATATTTTACCAGGCAGAAATATCATGGCTATATTAACATTTTATATCAAATTAATCTTATTTAGACTCAATTGACAATTTCCTTCACAATAAAATGAAACCTAATGAATATAATATTGAAAAGTTTGGGACTTATTTTTCCTCACATTTGCACACATGTACTACTTGTAATAAAAAATATTTGAACCTGGCATGCACATTCATGTTTTCATGAGTATGCTTTGGCAATGAGCCTTGCTTGGGGACAGTATCTGCTGCTATTTAAATACAATACTCTCTTCGATGCCCAGCTCAAGTTCTAGCATTTCAGAGAACATTTAATATGTCCTCTATCCCACCTCTTTGGTAATTCAATATTCATATCTTTTGTAGGCAAACCTATTGCATAGAAATGTATTTTGGAACTTTTTTGACTGTACTAATAGAAACTCAACGTGTCACATGGCTAATTTTTAACCAAGTGAGATAACTATTCTTTATTATTAGAATCAGATTCATTCCTGAGTTATGATGATGAAAGTTCAGATTCAGACTATATCCTAGTATTTAACATATCAAAGTTCCATTTCATGCTCTCTCTATTTCTATCATTTTATCCTGACAGAGGTAATCAGTATTAGCAATTCAATGAGGAACCTCCTAGATCTTTTGCTGCATACATATGAACAAATATTCAAGCACACAGAGCTTTTTGCTTCATTTTTAATAAACAGAATAATCTTATATGAATAACTGAACCACCGCCTCTTTGTTATGACCGTTTTTGTGTTGCTGTTGTTTTGCTGAACTACACCTTGAAACTGTCCTTTCAATGCCTTTGTTATAATTGATGGTATGGACAAGCCTTTCTCTTTTTCTTCTTTCTCATTCTTATTTTTGGTGTGGGGACCCAAACCCAAGATCTCATGCATACTACCACTAAGTGGCTAGGTTGATAAGCAGCCTACCACTAAGCCATACCTCAGTCCTCCATTGCTTCCTTAACCATTCTCCTTTGAAGGACACTTAGATTTTGTGCTTTTTGCTCTAAAAGCCAATTCTGCTATTCAGACCCTTCCTCCTGGATGCTTCTTTGCAAGCATTTAGAAACATCCATCTATTATGAAAATCTAAAAGGAGCATTGTTTGGGAAATAATAATTATGTTAATGTTTGGATAGATGCACTGAAAGTGTTGTCTTAGTTTTCTCTGTTTCCAGTAACAAAGCTGTCACTTAGGTATCAGCAACTGTATTGTTTGTTTCTTATTAAAGTCACAATCAAAGTATGAAAATAGAGGAGAAAAAGACTGACATGAGAATTAAAAGAAAACATGGAATGGCAAAAAGATGTCAAGGCATAAATGATATTGGTGCTTTCTAATTTTTTCTTCACTATTTTATTAATGCTTTGAGATTTTTTTTTTTTTTTTTTTTTTTTGTTTTTTTTTTTTTTTTGTTTTTCGAGACAGGGTTACACAATGGAACCTTGCAGCCATAGAGATTTTTATACAATGTGTTTTGGTCATATTTATCCCCCCAATGTAGGGAGTGTGTGAAGTCCTAAGTAAATGTATATTGTTTGACATGGGTACAGCCATATCAAGGACCCGAATGCCTCAGACCCATGGAAGTGGAAAAGCTTTCCCCGGGTGAGGCTCAGAGGGATGGCAAAGCCCTCCTCTGGCCTAAGTGCAGATGTTTCCAGTGTGTACAGAAAATGTCCACCCTAGCGTTTTTCCCTCTGGATGTTTATGGATTGAAGACTGCTCTCTATAGAGGTTGCTCTTACTGAGATGCACTAACCCCGCTCCCTTGTTCAGTTTGTATGATAACCCTGCCTCCTTGTTTATCTGTCTGCAGTAAGGATGCCTCCTGTTCAGCTGCATGCAGGAACCCTGCTTCTTTGTTCAATACATCTTAGTAAGCATGCTGGACTCCTAGAGACGCTATGGTGTCTCTGTCAGAGAGCAGTCTACTCCATCCCAGCTCTTCCATCGATATGTGGGTCAGTCATGTCTTCATCACCTTGAAACTCCAGTCAGGTCAATCTCTGAGGCTGTACAAAGCTGTGGAATTCTACTCTTCCCCATGAGTTCTACAATCCACCCACCCCTACCTTCCTGACACCCAACTTCATGTCCTGTTTTGGTTTGTCTTAATAACCCATGAACTCTATTTTTTTTTGGTTTTTGAGACAGGGTTTTTCTGTGTAGTTTTGATGCCTGTCCTGTATATTGCTCTGTACACCAGGCTGGCCTTGAACTCACAGAGATCCACCTGGCTCTGCCTCCTGAGTGCTGGGATTTAAGGAGTGCACCACCACCACCCAGCATTTCTTTTTTAGACTCTAATTTCTGCTGCCCATATATTCCCGGGGATGGGGTCACCCCCTGCAGTGTGGCTGACCTACCAGGAGCCACACCATTAAAGAAAGTCATTGACTGTCAATAGCCCCTCAGGGATGGGGAGCTCATGAACCCCTTCCCACTCTGAGCTAGAATGTTGACTGTTAACTGACTTGGTCTTGTATGATGATGTTTTCTGTTCTTAGAAGCTTTCATGTGGATATGTCAAAATGTACTCTGCTTTGATTCATTCATCCGGTTCATTAAGCACCATGCTGAGCAAGGCTTTGGTAATGGTGATAAAGTAAAAATACCAAAACAAACAAACAAGGAGCGTCTCTCTGAGAAGGGATTGTTTCAGGTAAGCCTGAATAATGGGGAAAATTCAGACATGGAGAATCAAAGTGAGGTAGAACATTGTCATGGTACTTGCAATGGGCAGTCATTAGAACACATCAAGTAGAGGTGTACTACAGCTAAACTTCTAGCTTCAAAAGATCCACAAACCCACCAGAACATTGTCCATATGTTCCAGATGAGGGGGGTTGTTTGATTTTATTACATTAAGGGCAGGAGAGGGGTAAGAGTTCTTACCTTGGGAGGTAGAGCGCAGTACATGCATCTTTTATGTTTTCTACTTCTATTTCTCCTGTGGCATACACAGTGGATGGCTTGCTGAATGGATGTTTGCAAAGGGCTATACAAAGGGGATGAAATATTTAAGCAACAACAAAAAGCCAGTGAAATATTGATCTTTGATGCCAGGAAATAGAGACTTTTGCATTTAGCAATAGTCGAGTTCTGTTGGGTGTCATTGGGTTGTCTGAGCACGTGATATCAGTAGAGATAATACAGTAGAGGGTTATGCTTTTGTACGTCACTCTTCCTCAGAAAGCAATGCTAAGAGAAAGGCTTTCATCTGAGATTAGAGAGATGTTGTGCGGAGAGTCGGGGACAGTTTGACTTTGATATCTTACTGTTACCTATTACTGTATGTCCTAACCCTGGTGCTGTTCATTGAGTTAAAACACCCTTTCTATAAATCCCCTACCTCGCACACAGAGAGACATCATCAATGGACGAATATTCACTGGGGAACAGAAATGGAAGCTGTATGTTATGGGGTCTATTTTCTGAGCAATCCATTTCACCACTTAATACACAAAGAGGCCATCAGATTCAAAGACAGTCAGTTTCCCTGTTTGGATGTCTTGTTTCCTGAAAATTAACTTTGTCACAAGAGGCCCATGCTCCTTTTCTGGGAAGCAGCTGGCATGGAACGGAACGAGCCTGTCCATGGAATGTCAGTTTATATCCTGCTTCTGTCTCTTGAGCAAAACACGTCTGGATTCAGTGTTCTCAGCTGCAGCCTGACAGAAGCAATAGCTTACTTTAAGAAATAACTACATTTGAGGGCTACTGAGGTGTGAGATAGCTTACAGGAGGTAACCGAAAGTGTAACCTCTTTCTGCCCCCTGCTTCCTTTGCTAAGGATGCATTGTAGCTGTCCGATATCATTTTACTGCTTGTCTGCATTCCTGTGTCATGAGAACAGAGGAGCCATGGGTTCTAGGCAAAGGCTCAGCATGGTGCTGAACCGGGTACAGAGCCCTGGCTTTCCTGCAGGACATGCCGAGCTAGCTAAAGCAGCCAAGGATTAAGTGAGCTGATGGGTTTCTGTGATTACGTTAGACTCTCAACTAATGGTAAAGATATATGACCTGGGAAAATGAGAAAGCCAAAGCTGGCTGTGTTTTAGGCTTGGACAAAGGCTGCTGGGAAGGGACCGGACCAGCTCTCCATTCAGATGAAAGTGTTTGACTTGGTTACACTTTGTTTCCTCTCCAAACTGCCACTTGATTTTCAGCTTTCAAACGAAGAGCAAGCATTTGCTTTTGTAATGTGAAAACTATGATCACTCTTTGGAAAAGATTACCGAACTTTCTGTACCTAGTGTTTATGTGTCTCACAAACACACACACACGGTTGTTTCCAAGCACACTGAATACCTTTTTGTACTGTGACATTTTTCTGTCTCCGCATCTGAATTTTGTACCGTGATGTCTAGGGAACTTGTCTCTGTAAGTTTACAGAAATCTGACAAACAGTAGGAATTTGTTCTCGGTGCGGCAGAGATGGACAAGTCCCCAGGAGCTTGGAGACCACACAATAACCACCTTGCTGTGAACCAGGGGCCTTTCTTTCCTAAGAAAAAGATTTGTAGGGGGGCAAAGGCTCTTGGATGACATCAAACTCAGGTAAAGGGAGGTTCAGCGGGCAGCACTGCACCCCAGAGGCTTGTTTGCCGACAGAGAAAGACCTGCATGTGCATTTGCACCTTTAACTGGCCTTAAAGGGTTGAGTAGGCTTTTGTATGTGAGCCAAATGATGGCGTTGTGGAGGGCAACATCGAGCAATGACCTGGGACTCTCCTAAGCTTTAACATCCTGGGCATGAGCAGGAAAATGCCGTGTGCAAGGCAGTGAGGCTGGGGAGACAAGCAAGAGGCTGATGTGAAAGGGCTTGCTGGGACAGCCCCCAAGGCTTGAACTCTATTGGGAAGAAACTACTGGAAGACAAGGAAACCGTGGAGGGCAGCGATCAGATGGGAGATGCTCATTTTAGAGATTTAATTGAGAAAGGGATCTACTGGAATTCAGTGGGGGTTGATGTGAGGAGTGCAGTCTAAAGGTAGGGAGACCCGGTAAAGATTAATAGAAGACTCAAGGGGAACCAAGAAATTGTGAATTAAGGCCATAGTGAGGAAGGAGAGACTAAGCTCAGCCTTGGGTGAATGAGCAAATAGATGAAGAAACAGCAGCAACATGCTAATGATAGCTAGAAGACATGATCAGTTCAGCCTTTTGGCCAATAAGTCAGTCAAAAGACCACTGTGTGCTGAAAGTCAATATTTCCATGGTGTGTGTGTGTGTGTGTGTGTGTGTGTGTGTGTGTGTGTACGCACACTAAAGTATGCATGAGTCTGTATGTGCCTATATGTAAAGGCCAAGGGTTGATATCTAGATATCATTTTTTAATCACTTACCGCCTTCCTGTTTGAAACACATCTCTTGCTGAAACTAGGAGCTCACTAATTTAGCAAGACTAGCTTCAGTGAGCACATGCATGTATACACCCCCCCCCCCACAAAATACATAAATAAATAAAACCATATTACTTTGAACTGAGACTTTCATTGACTTAAAGGCAATAAAATTAAAAATTATCTCCAAGTTGGGAAATGAGAAAACAAAAACCAATAGAAGAAACGTGAAGAAAGTTTGAGGAAGAATCAAAGTCTTTGGATATCTTTAGGATCACACAAGAACATCCAGCCTCAGGTCTAGTACCATGGGGTAGACGAAGATATGGTAACTGTAACATGCAGGATTACAGTTTGTGATATTGGCAAAATCATCGACATCTCATTGCAGACTTTTAAAACCTATGAACAGAGCAATGACAGATTCAAGGTAGCTGGAGCTAAAGCAAAGGCCGCTTTCAGTGACGAACTAGCCCACGAAGCAGCAGAAAAACTGGTATTTCCTGATCAGGTGGGATGAAAAGAAATGAAGAAGAAGCAAAAGGCAGGAGGACACAGCGCCATAGATGTTTTGATGTCAATCAACATCCAGTGGGATCGGCCGGAAGCATATTTAGGAAGGTTACAAAAGTGATCCAGAGAATAACAAACTCTTAAGTCACCCAATGAGAACATGGCATGGCAATATGTAAATAGGCAATCTGTCCAATATGTCAACATTTTATCTCCAAACATCCTAAGTTAGCTAATTGACCAACTGAGCAAAATGTTGGACAGGACACTCTGAAGTGAAACTGTTGGCAAGCCAAGGTAAATACTGTCACATGGGACATGTCCAAAAGACAAGACTGCAAGCAGGAGATGGAGAAATCCTTACTAGAAATGAATGGGGAGAGAACCCCTGGGATGTTTAAGAAAGACAAACAAAAAGGAAGGCAGAAGTTACTGCAATAGTGCTTTAGGGGCATGAACTGCATTTCAGGAAACCTGTCATTGCCTCACTCTTTCTGCCAGAAGCTCTAAGTCCATGCCAAGAAGCTCAGAAGGCTTCTGTTGCCTCAAATGGCGTTAGGACCCAGACTGCATTTTTCTCTTTTACAGAATGCATGGGTTGAAATGAAGATGGTGAGGCCACTTCTGGGTTTGCATTTCTGTGATAATTGATGTTCAGGGAGATATTGGCATATACGAATTCAGACCTCATTTGTTCTCAGAGACGAAATTACTCCAGGATCCCTTGCGTTCCAGGGCTAATTCTATTGTGGCCTATGACAAGTCACTCACTCATTGCCTCCGTATCACATGTTTCTTATATAGAATAATAAAAAGCCAAGTGTTCCTTAAGAGCTTTAGTACGTTTACAAATCTGTCTCAGAGTGGGCCACCACACTATTAAATGTCTAAATAATCACTGCCCCCACCTAAAAAAGTACCCAGATACAGAATCAACTCTGTTGGGAGTCATAGAGCCTGGATTATCGTCTAGAAAAGAAATACTTCCCACAAGGGGATCTGACATCGAGCACTGAAGCATGGCATCGAGTGGCTGCTGTGGCGAGGCCTCTCAGGAGGGAGGGTTGTTGGCTTGGTTGGGTTGGCTGCCAGGCTGTTTCCATATGGTTTCCTGATATGAGGTCACAGCGGCTATTGCTGCTCTGACATGTGGCTGTCTATACAGAGTGAACTTTTTGTTGGTACCTTATGTATCCATTGTTTTCATGCATATTGGGGAGGCATAATAGTGGCCTGTCATACTTTTTCAGAAAGCGCATATATATGTAAAAAGCCTTGAAGTCTTTACTGTATGTGCCAGTGGTTGCTAGAAGCTATGGAACACTTGCCTGATCACTGATTTATCAAAAATTTTGAGGAAGAGTAAAATATTTATAATATTAAGGTAAAGACTGATGTTGTAGCAAACACCACAATACATAGTAATATAGTCCTAAGGAATTTCATCTCACTAATGTAATAGAGAAAATGACATACAGTCTTCCTCCATGGGACCAGTCAAATACCCAGGTTCCTTTCATGTTGGCTCTGTCATTGATACTATAAAATTTCTAAGGCTGGCATATTTTGGATGAAACCAACTGAAGGAGAAAGGGTCTAGAGAATTGTTTGAAAAACACAAAGTCATATGTACACAAAGTCATATGTGTTTGAAAAACACGAAGTCATATGTATCATTGAGTAGCATTCAATGAAATAGTAACAGGAGACTGAAGAGCAGTAAAGGTATCCTATCACAATACAAAGAAGAAAACAGGCTTGGGCACAAGCCTTCTGTATTTTAACAATGTACAGTAACTCAAATATTATTCAAATATTATTTTCTATCTTCAAAAGTATGCATATGATGTAGGATACAAATTCACAAAAATTCTGAGTTGAACTATAAACAAAACTCAAAGAAATTTTTAGATAGCTTCAGCTACTTGGTACTTGATATACTTAAGAGCCTCAGGACTGTATAACGAGTGCTCCCTAGTTATTTATTATGAAGAGGAACAATTCTATACTGCTGCATTCATAGCAGCCATCCACTGTATATGTTTTAATAAAATAAATCAGTGAGTAACGTTTTGAAATACCAAAAGTAAACATTACTTTCTTGATTCACAGGAAGCAACTAAATGTGTCAGAATGGCCTACCTTCCTTCTGAAAATATCCCTTGGCTAGCTTTCAGGCTACCACCTGGTTTATTTTAGGAAGTCTTACTTAAAAAGTGATGTGTTATTAGCCATTAATATCTCATCAAGTCTTAAATTTTAACTTAAGGGTGAAAATTGGCCAAACCAAGCCTTTGAAATTGGAAAAGGAGGGGAAGGTGTCTAGAAGTAGTAGAACTTAGGTGTGTACTTGGACACTGAAATGTCAGTTTCAAACTCTATCATGAAGCATATAAATAATGTTGATTCCATAGGTAAATGTTAGGGGTCCTGATTTGGTAATTCTGGAATGGGGCTAGGAGATTGCATTTTAACCTGTTGACTCCATGATTCTACAGAATATGATCCAGGAAACATAGTCATGTAGCTGTGTAAAGAATACCCACCATATTGGGTTCTTGAAATTCTTAGTGAGTTCTGAGCAAGTGGTCCCTTCATTTTCCTTCTGTTCCTGTGATAAAATACCCTGACAGAAAGCAACTTAAAGAAGAAAGGGCTTATTGTAGCTCACAATGCCAGGTTATAACCCATCGTTGCAGGTTAGTCAATGCTACAGGAAGTTGAACTAGCTAGTCACATTACATCCACAGTCAAGACCAAACAGAAATGGATGTGTACATGGTTCTTAGTACTCAGCTCGCTCTTTGTACTTACACACTCCAATATCTCCAGCTCAGTTGGATGAGTTTTTCCACATCAATAAACATAATCAAGACAATTTCCCATAGACATACTTACAGGACAAATAATCTAGATACTCAAAAAGGTTCTTTTTCCCTCTCACCTCCAGTGGGTTCTGCATATTATGTAACTGGGCCTTTAAATGTATAAAGGAAGCCAGCCATCTAGGTCCTCTAAAGCTGTCTATGTATCATCAGTTAAGTATCCATGAGCATCCCTTGGTGGACCATCTAGTTTATTAAAATTTGTCGCCTATACTAATACAATTGTTGTTTTAGGCCATTGCTTTTTAGGTGGTTTGTTAGGTCGTTTGAGTTGATTTTTCTTTGGGTTGAAAATAATTGAGAATTTATTAGCATAAGGGTGATCTTAAGGCTGTAGGATTAAATAAGGTGACACGGTGAATGTAGATTAGGAGAGATGGAAAGACTGAACTTGGCCTCTTGATCTTTAAAATGGTGAAGACCTAACCAAGGAGTGGCCTGTGGGATTATAGGAGAACCAACAGGAAACAGAGTCCCTCAAGCCACGAGGTGTAAACATGCCAAGGAGGCTGACATGATCGGGTTTGTCAAATGGTTCCGTTCAAAGGTTGATGGTAGCTGGGAGTTAGCTCTTGGAATTGGTAAAGTGGTGATTGATGACACTGATGAAAGCAGTTTCGTGAAGTAGGGACAGGGACCCTAGTATGGTTTTGATTTCAACTGTCCCTCTACACCTCATATGTTGAAGGCTTAGTTCCCCACTGGTTGGTAGGTGGCAGAAGTTCAGGAGGTGAGACCTAGTGAAAGGAAGTTGGAGGTCTTTGGGAGTGTGCTCTTGGAACAGGTCTTTCATCTGTTTCTTTGTACTTCCTGGCCTTCCTAGAGAACTGTTGTGGTCTACAGGACCGTGATCTTCTGCCTTGCTTCTTCCCTAAGAACAGTGGGGCCAACTGATCATAGACTAAGATTCCGAATCCATCTGCCCAAACGACTCCTTTCTTTGTATAAGTTGTTTACTTTGTGTATTTTTTTTCCACAGTGAGACAAAGATAACCCAGATCTGACTGGAGTAAGTTCAGGAGAGAATGGCAAATCCGAAAATAGAGGTGGAAATAAAAGAAACCCTCTCTGCCCTTTGCAGTAAGGCAAACAGCAGCTGAAGAGACATGGAGTCAAGAAGCTCTTGCTTTGTTGCACAATGGGAATGAGGAAGATGCAGTAGAGAGAAAGATTGATGCAGGATTTAATCAGTGAACCTGAGACAAACAGGTAAGAAAAGTCATTTCAGGTGAAGGCAGATGCTGGGGGCAACCCAACACGATGTCTGAGGAACAATGGTGTCCTGCTGTGATTAAGGGAGTAGGGTGGGCATGAGTCCTTTCTGTCATGGTTAAGTTGAATTAAATTATTTTTAATTTAGCCAGGTAGTGCTGATGCAAGCCTTTAATCCTAGTACTTGGGAGGTAGAAGCAGGCAGATCTCTGAGTTCAAGACCAGCCTCTTCTATAGAGTGAGTTCCAGGGCAGCCAGGACTACACAGTGAAACCCTGTCTTGAAAAACCAATAGTTATAATAACAATAATAATAGTAACAACCACAACAGCAATAATAATAATTTATTACCATATGTACAATGTGTCAGTGTGGTGGGTACCCATATGTCATGGCAGAGAACAATGCTGTGGAGTTACTGCTCTCCTTTCCCCTTTACGTGGGTTCTGGGGATTGAACTCGTATCCTCAGACTTGTGTGGCATGCAAACACTTTACCCACTGAGCTTTCTCACCAGCATCTCCTCCTGCCCCCCCTCCCAAAAAAAATTATTTTGAATGAGAAACTTACTTTTATTGGTAACCAGGGAAACATACCAAATATCTAAAAACAAATTGGACTGAGGGTTCTGTCAACTGTGCTGGTTGCGGTAACACATACCTATCTATACTCTTAGCCCTTGAGAGGCTGACACAAGAGCATCGCCGAGAGTTCAAGGCCAGCCTGAGCTGGTCCTTGAGCAAGGTCCTGTTTCAAAAACAAACAAACAAACAAACAGATGAAAATCAATGAAAATTTTGATTCAACCACAATTCAATGAGCAGAAGAACTCTTCAAGTTTTTGAAACAGAGTATTTCCAGTCTAAAGTCCATGTTTTAATAAGAATGCAGATTAGAAGACTTTCTTATCCACTATTCTGATTTTATTTCTGTTTGAAATTAGTCACATGTGAGTTTTGCTTTGCAACATCAAGAGCAATGCCTGTTCAATGGCTTTAAAGGTTCATATCAGTGTCACACAGACATGGGGACAGGGATCAACTGAGATCATACATTGTGTAAGCGGCTTGGGAACAACAGAATTTATACCAGGCTGATGCAGAAAGTTAGTGACTGAAAACTTCCCATTGATTTAAGTGTCCCCAACCTATTAAAAAGGTAAGGACAAAAACAAGAAAATACGGTCTCTTCTACTTCTATTACGGAAATAAGCCAAAGTAAGTAAAATTTCCTTAATATTTTGTTTACTTTCTATCAGCTACAGCTTCACAGGAACACTGTTGTTGTAAAGGTCTTATGCATTGCAGAGAAGTTGAAGCCGTTCAACAATTAGCGTAAGTAGAACCATTTGTATTAAACTTCTCAGTGTATAACCAGAGATCATGAGAATTTTATTTTAGGTGGGGCAAACAATTAGTGCAAGATGCATTTATCTACAATGCAATTTTTTTCTACCTTGTGTGAGAATAAGACCATTTTTTTTTAAAAAAAATTTAAAAGCATCAAGAAGCAAAAGGAAATATTTTACCCTAAAACTGTATTTTACTTGGAAAGGAAGAATACTGCAGAACCTTTCCTGGACACATTCTCAAACGGAGGGACTTCTTTGACAGTAAGTCAAGCAGCTAGATCATGTTCTTATGCTATTACATCCCGGTAATATAAAAAAGTCTATCAGGAAATCTACCCATGATTCAACAGCCAGTTGAGACTTGGAAACAGTGGGAATTGCAGAGTACCCGTCTGTATCAGTTTAGCTATAATTATGTAGATAAAATTAAGTTTTGTTTTTTTCTTACTAACCATTCATTCATGTCAGTTCAGTGTACTGAGCAGTGGAGAGCTCAACTCCTAGGAAGGACGGTTATCAGGCACCCCTTGTAGGACTCGGGCCCTGTTCTCAGGGAGTCCGTGGTGTGAAGGGGAAGGGAGAGGAAGGACATATAAGTCTGCTGCAGGACTGGCTGAGACAGGAACTGTAAGATACAACAGCATAAAGGTAAGTAAGTGCCTTTGATTCCACCCAGAGGAGTCCGGAAGGCTTCGGAGCGTATCATGAGTAGAACAGAGCAGATAAAGGACTTTCCAACAAGAGGCACCACAGGGTGGCCTACATCTCATTGTGATACTTGAGAGTAGTAAAGAGCTCTCTCTCTCTCTCTCTGCATATGTGTGTGGGTATAGACAGACATTTGTGGTGCATGTGTGTCTGGAGGCTAGAGGAGCAGGGACAGGCTGGCTAATCTTGCTAGGCTGACTGGCTGGTGAGCCATGCATCTGCCTGCCTTCACGTGCTGCGTTTACAAACACAGGCCCCTGCACCCAGGGTTTTGTTAACATGGGTTCTGAGGACTGAACTGAGGTCGCAGTGCTTGCAAGGCAACCACTTGAGCAGCCGACCCAGTCTCAGTGTTTCAGCAGTGTTAGTGGGTTAAGCTAGAGCCTCCCACAGCTACTACATAGAGGACTCTGTCACCGAGCACGGTCTCAACCCAGCATGGTCTTGATAGAGGAGGATTAGAAGTGAATCTACATCAGCAGATAGATGGGAAACGAGGCATTGGACCTGAGGATATTAGTCAGAAGGCCGGGGAAGCCTTGATGGAGATGTGACCAACACAGGGCATTGTTAGTAAGGATGGATAGGAGGCGGGAGTGTTTTGTAACCTGGGTCCTGCCTTGATCATGTCCTTTATCTGTGCTTCAGGGGACTCTGTTCTCCTCACCTTTCAAACTTTAGCTCCAAAAAAGCCTACGGGTAAAGCCCTCCGCACACCCTCTCTGAAGCACAGGTCTCTGCACCCAGAGCATCTGGGTCACGCCGCACTCAGCTTGTCAGGCTGTTGTCTGGGATGCCACTTCGTCTTGGGCCCAACTGTTTGTAGGTTTGTATTAGACAGAGTGAAACAACCAGGAATCCTCATCTGCGATTCAGGGAAAACGAGAATTAAGTTGAAAACTTGAAATAGAAATGGCTGTAGAATCGGATCCAGTTTAAGGAGGGAAATCAAGGACTTTGTTTAGTCCATGTGACATTCCCAACATCTCTAAGAAAGGCACACTTTTTTTGAGGGAGGGTTATTTGTAGCCCCGGCTGTTCTCAAACTCACTATGTGGCCTGATCCTTCTGCCTCCACCTTCCAAATGCTGAGATTATAAGCATATCCCACTATGCCTGGCCAGAAAGTCATATGCTAAGTTTAGATTCATGTCAAGTCTTTGACAAACTTATAAATAGAAATTTATGACCAAACAAAACTAAACAAAACTAAAGTATGTCATTTAGCGCTGGGTTCAACATGTTTATTGAAGAACTTTATTATAACATAAGAGAAACTATTATTCATATAAAGAAAACTTTTCTAAATAATTCTAGCTTTATCTTTTTGTGTGTATATCTTTGTTTTTGCTTCATTTTTCCCACAAGATCTCACTGTGTAGCCCAGGCTGGCCAGAATCTTGAGACCCTCCTGCCTTAGCGCCACCACACTCAGGGTGGTCAATCTCTTAAGACAATCGGATGCTTAACTGGTACATGTGCTGTGTGAAAAGGCGTCCTGGTTAGAGATGTTCACAGCGGAGGCGGCTAATGTGAAAAATCAACATGTGGCTTCCAACCGAAAGCCAATCCATGAGTGGAAAAAGTCGAGTTAGAGGACTCAGCCCTAGTGTGTGCTGAGCGAGGCCATGGTTGATCGGTAAACGACAGAGAGGAAAGAGACAGTCGGTGGTGAGTCGGAGAAAACAACACACGAAACTGTCAAGCCTCAGGACTTACAGTTATCATCTTAAGAGAAAACGGAACATTCTCTGGGGCCATTTACATGGAGTGAGCTGTTTCAGAAGGGTTTTTTGTGTGTTTGTTTGTTTGTTTTTTCTAAAGGAGAAAGGAGTTCGACCTTCACTGCTGTCATTTGCTGTCCCGAGTGTGACAGTTGAAGTCTGGTTGATGTTTTTTTCCATTTGGGTTCTGCAGAACAGGAGATTGGTAGAAAGTGTTGAGGAGGGGAGTTAGGCATGAGCCTCCCCAAAGTCCGAGACAGTGCGGTGTAGGTCCACGGCCAGGTCCTAGGAATGCGTCTCACCTGGGGCTCTCAAGGTTTACCCCTTGCGCATGGGCAAGCATGTTCAAATGTCCTATGACGTCAGGGGAATATGTAATTGTAGCAAATCAACTATAATTTCCCCTCATTTTCAATCACTCAGAAAAACCCATTGAGGTGCAAAATCACAAAGCTTGGCATGGAGTTTTCTCTCAGTCACACACCTCATGAGCTAGCAACAAGGGACGGGGCCGCTCCTGAGCTGTGGGTTTGGGATCGTGCCCTGTTGGACAGACAAGGGGATTTTGTGTCGTAGCCATTTCAGGCCAAGGGAAGGAAAGGGTCTGTGACACCTTGAGCTCATTGGAATGTTCGATGAAGATATTGTTCAGCTAAATGAGGCTCGAGAACTGAAAACAATGTGCTAAAAGAGGAAAATCTGGGACTGGAGATGACTCTTTGGTTAAGAGTGCTTACAGCTTTTGTGGGGGGCCACAGCTGGCCCCCAGCACCCTAGTTTGTGGTTCAGCTCTAGGAGCTCTGGCATCCCTTTCTGGACTCCTCTGAAACCTGCACACGTGTGTATGTACCCTGCTTCACACACAGATACGTAAGAAATAAGATAAATCTTAAGGAAAAAGAAAAAGAAAAGTCTGGGTGGTTGGGCAAAACTCAGGGAGGATTGATAAGACGGAGGATGGGACAAGGACTTGGGAGTCATGGTGGGGACAGAGGGCTTGAGAGGGTTGTAGGGACAGACAGAAGGCAGCGGGAGGGTCTCTCACTGTTCATTTATGGGTGGTATGAGCTGAGGGACAGAATTGGGAAGGAGGCCCAGGGTTACAAGGTCCCTAAAAGCAATCTTTTGTTCTAGGGACAGCGAGGGAAACACGTACCCTTCCTCCCCTCTGTCCCCTAGGAGTTTCGAAAGCTTTGTGGCAAATGCATGGCTTTAAGTCTTTCAGGGCCGTTCAATCATCAGGGATTTTCCACAAGGCCTTACAAAAATGTAGATTACACTGTAAAAAAAAATGCTTTTCAGTCCATAAAAGTCCGTTTATACTGAGCAAATATCTTTATGATGTTTGACTTTGGTTCAGGTCCCTATTCCGAGAAGTGAAATTTGGTGGCGTGAGTAGGAAAAAACAACACGGAAATAAGAAAGACCCACGATGGCCATTTAGAGCACAATGAGACCTTGTTTACTCGACGACGTGGACTCCAGCGTTCCCTTGAAAAAACGCAAGTGATTAAGAAAATACTTTGAGAACCTAATAATAGTGCCCTGAAATCTGAGAGCCACTTCTCATCTTTCTGAGGCTCAGGAACATGCTTAATAAGGATGTATGTTTTTAATACACTGATTCTTAGCAACGATGTAGGGTTTTTATTTTTTTTTTTATTTTCTAGACAGGGTTTCTCTGTGTAGTTTTGGTGCCTGTCCTGGATCTCACTCTGTAGACCAGACTGGCCTCGAACTCACAGACATCTGCCTGCCTCTGCCTCCCGAGTGCTGGGATTAAACGCATGTGCCACCACCGGCCGATGTAGTTTTTAATTGGTACAAAAGTCAAATAAGGCATTGCCCATTATTGTGCACCACATATAGCATCTGGTGACTTGTGACTTGTAGGCAGATTCATTTACGTGTCACAAGTGTACCTGCAATTTAGCATAATGCCAGGTCACTGCTCTCTCTGTCTCTCTGTCTCTCTGTCTCTGTCTCTCTGTCTCTCTATCTCTGTCTGTCTCTGTCTCTCTCTCTGTCTCTCTCTGTCTCTCTCTCTCTGTCTCTCTCTCTGTCTCTCTCTCTGTCTCTCTCTCTGTCTCTCTCTCTCGTATGCATGGATACATATGGACAGTGTGTGGGCAAGTACATGTGTATGTGTGTGAAAGCCAGAGGTCATCATCACGTGTCCTCCTCTATTGTTCTACTTTATTCTGGGACAGGGTCTCTCTCTGAACCTGGACCCCATCAGTTTGACTAGATTGCAGGCTATTGAGCTTCAGCCTCCTCCTTTCTCTGCCTCCCTACCTGGAAGTACAGGTACTGCCGTGCCTAACTTTGACCTGGGTGCTAAGGATTTGAACCCAGCTCCTTATACTTGCATAGCAAGCAGGTTGCCAACTGATTCATCTGCCCTGCCCCAAGATCCTGCCTTTTGAATAAGATAAATAAAAAATAAAATCACAGGACTTGAAATAAGCCCGTGAGACCCAGTTAGATGGTTATTTCATAAGATCAGATACAAATGACCTGGCCAATCCTTTTCAGCTTTAGTTTTTCTAATTCCTCGTGTTGAAACATACAGTTTTCTGAGCTAGGGAATCAAGTCTTGGCAGAAGAGTGCAGTTTCTCTTGCATGACTGACTTGCCCAAAAGGAGGACGTCCGAGAAAGAATGTGTGCCAGCCCCTACCGCATCAATCTCAATCAAAATCATCTTGTCTGTACAGGTGTTGTAGCAAGAAGTTTTGGATGAAAAAGGACGCCAAAAATATGAGGCAATCTCACTCCACAACTACCTGAAACTATTCTCTTTTCTCTGGACGAACGTCAATAGAAGTGTGGATTTTATTCCCTGCCCCTCACTGGATTCCAGGCAGCAGACAGACAGAAGCAGATCTTTTTAAAAATATGTAATTGTAATGATTTAAGTCTCTAAGATCTAGAGTATTTTGTTTGTCTGGACGTCTAATCATACAGACCTTAGCCGTCATATTAAAATGGCGAATTTTATCCTTTGGCATTTGAAAGCACAACATACATAATCCTTTATCTCTCCCAGAGCTATTAGCTTTTTGGCCTTTGGCTGGCCGATGTATACAGTATCTATAGTTATTGCATGCAAGGGCTCTCAACTGACTCCCCAGGTCTTTGATCAAACCAGCTAAACTTGATTTTCCAGATTGCTGAAGAGACAAGGCCTACAACTATCAGCTTTTCAAGTCCTGGCAAGCAATGGAGACCCCTTGCTCCCTCCCGGGCTTTATCAGAATCAAAGGTAAACAGGGGGCCGGTTCTCCTTCAAGTATGCAGCATCAGGATCCTGCTTCGACTTTCACAGTTGTAGCAGCACAAGAAAAATAACAGTTGAAGTAAGAAAAAGGTTCCCTGGGCGGTAGATGCCAAGCTAAATAATGACACCCAAAGCAAAAACATGCTTCACTGAAACTAAGCTTTAGTCAGTTCAGCCCTACTGAAAACAAAGCTTTTTTTGTGATTTCAAAAGTGAACATTGTACTTTGCTCTGGCAGCCATTTGTATGTTTTTGAATGATCCGATTATGCACAAATCCCTGGTCTATGGGCCTTTCAGCACCTCATCTCAGGAGTGATTTGAAAACATGACTGCAAATTTCTGCACACAGCGCTTGCAAGTTTCCTTCTCTTAATCTTTTAAAGCCAAGCCTTCAAGTGACAGTGTTTTGACACACACTGCTGTCTTCTCTCTCTCCCTTTTCCTCTTCCTCTCTCTGAAATATCTGCAGGAGACAGGGCACTGGATTCCGTGTCCCCGAGACCTCATTTTCACCCCCCCCCCCATAGTCCCTTGCTTTATGCTGTCCTCTCTCTGTTGATCTCCCCAAGGCACACTTCCTAGAGAATGTCTGCAGTCACCCGCTCTGTAATTTGTGCAACCTGGGCTAGGTAGGTAACACACAAACCCCAGAGGTTTTGCTCTGTCTTTATACTTATTTTTAATTGAACAGTGACATACAGGCTTGGTTAGTAAGTCGATGATTAAAACCTCAGAGTATAAATGGTACCACTTGGAGGATACCTGAGTGTTGGGGAGGAGGTAGAAGCAGGTAATATCAGGCCCCCTCTTTTGGGGGGAACGTTCAGGGCTGACAGTGCATACATAGTCACTGGAAGAGTACACCGTCCAAGGCAATAGCACATGATACATATTGTGCCAGATCTCAGCACAGATTCTAATGGCTCTACTGTTTTTTTTTTTCTTCTAAAATTGGAGGGATAACCTTACGTTTGCCTAAATTCCTAAGCGCCCCATTGCAGTCTACATGTTGGAAGCTTCCAAGGATGTTAAGAAGGGAGCTTTGCTTCCTCTCTGAAGGCATCATCACGCTCTTGCTTGGTCCTACTCAGCAAGCCGGTTGGTGCCTGCTGCCTCCTGCATTAAGACAGAGCAGATGTGAGAAACAAGCACGGTGAACCCAGAAGTGACCTGCCTACCTGACAGATGCTTCTAAGAGACTGCCAAAATTATGTGTAGGTTCTCCAGAGACCCCCACGGTGCCCAAGTACAATCATACATTCATCCAACACCAGGAGAGGCTAATTCCGTAAGACATCACAAGACTTCCCTGAAAAGCCACCAGCATTAAGATCAAACTTTAAGAAAGACAGACAACCATATTAAGGGGCAGGAAATTCATGTAGGATTGTTGATGCCATATATTCTTACATGTAGTCCCCCTTTTCGTGTGCGTGCGGGCATGTGTGTGCGTGCGCGCGCGCGTGTGTATCGGACCGTACTCTGTTGTTTTCTTCTACAGCTCAGATAACTTCTCACTTTCCTTTGCCCTTAAGTCTCACTCTAGATGTTCTGCTAGATAAGCTTGTTTACTAGTGTAGTTTCAACTCCCTGTTTTATGGTGGTGATGCTCAAGTCGAAATCTGGAGGCAATGCTGTTCTGAGTTTCAGCATCCTTTATCCTACTTCATCTGCACTCTATCTCTCAGATACCCCACACGCCAGCTGCACAACAGGGTCATAAGATTCACACCTCTCTCTGCTCTGTGACCTGTGACCCGCTGTGTGAATAGCATCTCTTTACCACGTTGTTTAAGCTATACGCCTAAAAGCTCTCCCAAGGCCTCGCCTCCTCTTCCTCAAATATCTAGTCAAAGCTGGCCATGGAGAGTGTCATGTCGTCCTGCCACCACTTCCAAAATCTGTCAGACCTGCTTGGATACCAGGCACACAACTCAGCTCCATCTCCTGCTTACTGTCTTGTCCTCCGTCTTCAAGAGTGAACTTTCTGAGCTATGATTCAACTGTGCATTCTCCTTCAAGCTACCCATGGCTACCCCCTTGGTCTTAGGATAGAATCTAAACTCTTGAGTATTGCTTACAAAGCCTGTATGTTCCTGGATTCTTTACCTCGACCCTCTGTGTCTTTCAGCTACTGTCTTTGAAGTCTCCCAAACTCTCTTTTACTTCAGGGTCTGCTTCATTCTGCTGCTGCTTTCGTCTGGTTATGATTGCTTGTTCTTAAACCTGGCAGGTGCCTCTCCACCTGCAAGAAGTCTGTGAGCTACCAGTCTGGGGATAAGGCCTCCCAACACCCCCTTACTATTCCATATCACAACATTTATTTCTGCAGATATGGTTATCTCTTGAGGAGTTTCTATTTTCATTCTCCCGTAAATTCTTTGAGGACAGCGACTTGATAATTGCTTCATCATACATAAACGTTTTAGGAGAAAGATACCCACAAATGTACACCTGAAGAGGTTATGCCCATCCTAAGCAGAACCTGACCTAATGAATGAGATAGATAATCTGTCTTTCTTCCTGTATCTCCACATGTGTCCTTGTAACATCATATTTAGTCAAATAGAAAGAGATTTCAGAAATGTTGGACCTTGAAGGATTCTTACAGATCACCTTTATTTTATGCATAATAACCAAGGACCAGGGAGAGAAGGCCACTTTTTCACCCTCCCATGGAGAGTCCCCAAACCCATGTCCTAGCATTTTTTATCAGGCTTCTTCATTTTGGCCACTTTGATATGTTTGAGATAACAGTCCACTTTCCCTTTCTCTCTCTCTTTTTTTCATTTCAGTTTCTTTAGATGACTAGTGGGTAGAACAAATTTTTAATATTCAACAGCTATTTGACATTTATCTTTATTCTAAAGATAAATCTCTAAAACCTTCATCAAATTTATTGGATCATCTGCTTCTCTCTTCTATGTTTAGGAGTTTCTTACATATTCTGTATATGAATTCTTAAATTTCCCTTAATGTTGTTTAGTCATCCGGGACCCAGTGTATGCATTGGCAGCCACCCTTGAGGGAAATGCTCATCTGCAGGAAGTGTTTGAGGATATTTCTTGGGAGTGCTGTTTGTAAAAGTATACAATTGGAAATGCATAAATGTATGTTTGTCTACTCCAGTTTGTCTAATCCTGAGTGAGTCAGTAAATTATGGCCTGCTCACATAATGGAAATAAGAGCAGAAATGAACTAACTGGTTCTACGTGTTCTCTACAGAGTTGGTGCCAGAAACTAGAGCGTCGCGTAGAAGAATAGATAAAATAATACACACAGCATCCGATGCAGTCAAATGCTAATTTACATTTCGGAGTAAATACATATGAGCTAGAAGTGAAAGAAGAGCGGGCTAAGTACTATGAGTGAGTGCTGCTCCAGCAGAGGATCAGAGTTCAGTTCCCAGCACCTGTGTCCGCTGGGCCACAGCTATCTCTTACTCCATTTCCAAGGAATCAGGTGCCTCTGGCATCCTTCAGCTTTGCACTCACATGCACACACCCCGCCATTAAAGACAAATAGATATAATCTTTAAAAAAACGAACACACAAACAAAAAAAAATCCCTCCAAAATCGTGACTGGAAGAACATTCTTCCCCCCTAGGGAAGAAGACAGGATAAAGGTCGGGTACTCAATTTGGCCTGTGATAGGCCTCATTAAAAGAGATTTATGGAAAATGGAAAGATGTTAGCACATGGTGAGTTTGAGCTCTGAGTAAATGAATGCCTGTGGCCTTATTCTGTTTTATTTGTGTACGATTGAATTATTTCTGAATAAAAGAAAATATAAAAATCTGGCAAAAGAGGTAGATCAGAACTTTTTCCCAGTCAAACTAACAGAACATGCACACACACACACACACACACACACACACACACACACACACACACACACATTATACATGGAACACATTTAAATAACTTGCACTAGAAGAGGTGGAATGCAGGAAAGTTTTAATGTGAAGGAAGGATAGAAGCGACAATAGCGCAGTGACCGAGAAGGGTACAGGGAGGGATGGAGAGTTGGGGGAGGAAGGAGGCTGATAAAATACTCTGCTACCTAGCTTGCCTTGGGAGGTGTTGGAGGGAGAAACACATCACTGGGAGTCATAATCATTGATTAAACCTTTATAAACCATTTATAGTAACATATTATAGGAACTGAAAAAAAATCACATAGGCCAACGTGTCCTTCATGTTAGTCATAAGACAAACAAGGCCCAGGAAAACAGAAAGATAAGTCTGGGCATTTTATTTGAGAATATCTGTATCCAGCTATTCCAGTCAGTGAATGTACTTGTACTGGCTGACTTTTCAGTTGATGCGAGTTATATGTTTTAGACAGATGGTTAAAAGGATACATAAGTCTTGACTAGGAAGCAAGGATATTGTTGTGACTACAGAAATGTCACAATACAGACTAATGGGTAGCCTCACAGGTAACACCTGTGAAATGGGTGTCATTATGGAGACTCTCAAAGAGGGACACTAGAATTCAATTGCTGCTACCTCCCACTTGTGCCTGGGAGCATCTTGCTTGCTGGCTGATCAATATCGTTCTGGTTACATCTGTCTTTTATGACTCCAATAAAGACTATCTCATTAGGTGGCCCAAAGCCAAGAGATAACTATGAAGATCTTCCATGAAGTTCTTACAAAAGGTGGCCTCAGGTCACCACCACTAAGGTGAGTCACTGTGATTTTCCTCAGGGACTTTCTTCTAGTTATGGGCTAGTGGGGAGATCTGGAATGTACCAATAAGTTTACATCTTTGTGTTGGTAACATAGACAGAGATCATGGTGAGGAATGACCTTAATAAAGATAGAGGAGGCAGCTGACTGAGGCATGAAACACTGGTCCATAGGTTTTCCTACCCTAAGGGGCCTCACATTCCCCCAGCCAGAGACAAAGGTCTGCAGATGCTGGCAGGCTTGCTGTCTCCTCTGACATGAGAAGAGGGTCTTCCAAGGTATCGTCAGGAGCTTTGCCTCCAGCATATCGGCACAGCAGTGAATTTCCTAGATTAGCTAATTGCATCTTTCAAAGACATAGGGAGCCTTGTCCTCAGAAGGTGACATATAAAATTGGCAGGTTTCAATTTGCTTAGGAGAAGGTGGACCCAATGAAACAAACAAACAAACAAACATAAGAAACTCAAACTTCTGTTGGCCATGCCCAATTGTGTCGTCACCAGGCGATTGATTTCATTCTATTTTATACTTCCTCAAACATTTATGCTTTCCTTTATGATATTTAGGAAGGTTTGATTTAGACAGTCGTTTGTGTGATTGGTATTCATTGGTTTTTCTGGCTAAACTGTAAATCTCATGAGACCAGGGACCACATCTCTTTTATTATTTACATCATCTCAGAGCCTTGCCAGAAATCTGGTTTATGCTATTAAGTTCTACACGTACCTGTTGACTGTGTTGTTAAGTGAGTGAATGAATGAGGGAGTGAATGAGTATAAGAACAAAAGGAGTTAATGAAGGATGACTGAACTCAATGGAGATCGCACCAACGGTCTATGGGCTATTGGTGGGAGATCACTGTACAACAATCTAGAACAAGCTCTTTAAAGATAGGGGCCTAGTGGGAAGAGTGTGACATCATGATTCGTTAATGGTGCTGTGATGGCTATGTTTCCTCACTTACTATGTGACCTCAGGTAGCTCAGTTCTTCACTCTGATCCACTGTTTTCCCCCTTTATACAATGATAACAGGGAAATGAAACGGTTTTGAATGGGCATGAGGACTAAATCAGATAAAGAGACACTTTGTAAACTTTTCTAATACGTCTCTTTTGAGGCCTGGGTTACGTTAAACAACACTCAGTTTTATTAATGAAAAATGGGTATATCAGTGGTATCATGGCCAGAACCACAAGAAAAACAGCACGGGCAGAGCTGTATAGAGCAGCATGGATGGGACTTACTCTTGAAATCACTGTCAAGAGCTGGGGTATGGAGCAGGCATGCCTGAGGTCCAGGAAGAAGTGTAGGATAGTGGGTAACCAAGACTTGTTTCTGAGTATAGAAGGAAGTTATCCCTGGGTATAAAAGGAAGGGTATGCTGTCAGTTACATTTAGGAAGTTTCTTCATTTTTCATGGGGTGGTCACATCTGAGTGACTCTGCAATGTCACTCCTCAAGTTCCAAAGACAGCCCTATCTAGAGAAAGAAAGACCTTGAAGGTGTCTCTTTCCAAACGGAGGCAGTCAGTACAAGCTTTTCAGGTTTGAGACTCTGGTAATCAAAGTTTCAACACAATTTCTGTTTTGTCATTGATACTGGCTTTTACGACCTAAGTGAACTGCAGTTGAGATGACTCAGGCTGGAAAGGCCTTGCATCAGTATGGAGTCACATCACACCTCCCTCCCTGGAACCACTTGCTCTAGACGACTTGGAGAGGTGTTGGGATTTGTCACACAGTCAGACTTAGGTCCCTGCAGTGGGTCTCCCTTCGCCCTGACATTGTCATAGTGTGTTGTAGAACCAAAGAACACGAAGAGGATGGTAGAGGGAGCTTCTCTTCCCCCTCCACCAAAGGAACAGAAACTTCCAAACATGACAGTTTCCTAAAATACAGTTTGCCTAATTTGTGTGAATATCACTTTTTCTGAATGTCATGAATTCCACCACTTCCTTTACTTGTTTTTGTTTTTTGTTTTTCTTCTTAGTTAAGGAAAAGAGAGCACGTTGAATACATTATGAAGGCTACTCTTCTAAGTAATGAAAAGACTTGGCTGAGTTTAAAAACAAGTAACTCTTTTCATATCCAAGTTACTTTTAGAAGTGCCTATAAATTATTACCTTCCTCTGTATAAGAGGTGTCTCATGACTAAAGGCTGAGACAGTCTCCATCATACTCTTTAACAATGACTCCTATGTTTCTTTGGTAAACTCATAATGTTAATTACACTCTGCAACAGATGGAGCACCTTCCATCCAGGACCTCAGTGCACCTTGCAAATGTCATAAATCTTCAAAGCCCTTCCATAATGGAGGTAAGTATCTATGGTCACACTTTTATAGGCAAAGAAGCACAAAGCAGGCAAGTGTTCTCTTTTTTAAAGTGGAATATGCTTTGGTCAAAGATTTAGTCATCACTAAGAGTGTAGTGAAAACCCATGAACACTTACTGAAGGGTACCTGGGTGAAGTGTCTCACTGGCGAGCTTCGCTTTTCCTGCCAGTTCCTGGACAATATTATTTGAAAATCACATGTTAATAAATCAAAAATTATCTGCTGATAATTAGTCAGCTTTTACAATGACTAGTATAGAAAATGGCTCCTGGACCTTCATAGTTATATGGCAAATTCTGAAAATAGAAATGGCCAAACACCTTCTTCTCCTTCTCTTTCTCTTCCTCCTCCTTCTCTACTACTACTAGTGTTATCTCCCCGCCCACCCATGTGTGTTATATGGCGTCTCTGAGGAGCATCAATGGTGGTCCAGGAACAACTTTCTGATTTTAGTTCTCACCTTCCACCTTTACATGGCACATGAATTACTTTTGTGTTGATGTGATAAAAACCTATGACCAAAAGCAATTTAAGGAAGAAAAAGGTTTATTTTGGCTTACAGGTTCAGAGGGATGGAGTTCATTATGTTTGGGAAGGCATGATGATTGTTAGAAGATGCATTGTGACAAGAACTGGAAGCTGGCTGATCACATTTTTATCCACCCACAGGAAGTAGAGTGAAGCCATAAACTCTCCAAACCCACTCCCAGTGACTTCCTCTAACAGAGCTAGACCTTCTAAAGTTTCCATACCCTCCTCAAATAGCAGCACCAGCTGGGGACCAAGTGTTGAAACATAAAATTACTGAGGCCATTTCCTATGTAAACCACAGCATGTTGGTTCCAAAGACTGATCTCAGGTCATCAGGCTTGCATCGACAGGCAAAAGTGCCTGAACTCACGAAACCATCTCATTGGTCCTCCACACATTTTTTTCACTTGATCTTTGCCAAAAGGCCAAGAAGTGATCCCCAAACCTTTTTATCATCTGACACCAAAGCAATGGAACTTAGAGATGAGTACAGAGACTATCTAGTCAAGCGTTTTCATAATTTAGATGAGAAAATTGGGATTGAGGAAGGTTAATAAGTAACTTTCATGAAATCACTCAGCTTTTAAAACCTTAATTTAATTTCTCTGCCCTCACTTTTGATGCAGAAAGGGTTTAATTTGGCTTAGTCATTCAGTTGGTTAGTGGCATCAATAACTAAAATCCAGGCTCCTGGCCCTCATCAACCCATCTTCCCAATGAACTACATTCACAGTGTGTGCCTTTCTGCATCCTAAGTATTATGAAATCATAAGATGTGGGAATTGTGAGGAGTTGACTATTGTTCTGCTGTGCTTTAATTTCAGAGGAATCTGATACTCAGGGAGCTTACGGGAATCACTTGAGGCTCTATGGTTAGTGACCATAGAGCCACAGAAACCCAGACTCACAATTTCCCCTTCCTTCCACAGATCTGAAATGTTAATTTGTTAACTAGGATCCCAGCAACCAAAACCATCAATACAGTTTTATACTGACTTTTCAGAAGTATGCTTTTATTAAAAACAATTTAAAACAAAATAAATCACAACAAAAACTCCAGGGAATAGGTAAAGAGTAACCAAAATTCTGCTTGTTTTTTTGACATGTTCTGGACCTGGAAATCTGACAATGGGTGATAACTTATAAAGACCACTAGGAACTGCAAGAATCCAAAGTGCTGACTGATGTTCAGAGCTCAAACCATCCTCATCAGAGTTTCAGGAGTGTGCATTTTGTTTATGATTAAAATTGTCAGCTGCTTTTAGTGGCATATTCTGATAGTCCTAGATATTCAGGAGACTGAGGCAGGAGGATTACTCAAGTCAAGAGTTGGGGAAGAATTGGTAGAATGAGATCTTGTCTCAAACAAAACTGCCACCCCCAATCAAAAGAAAGAAACAAAGAACAATAGGAAGGTTGGGAGAAAGGGAAAGAGGGAAGGAGGGAGAGAGGGCGGGAGAACATCGAAGGCCATAGATAATGTATGGTGATCCTCACTAAACAAAAATAATTAATGACAGCGGCACACTGATTTTTTTTAAACCATCATGGATAACCTAGAACTTAGGAATGTTTATGTATTTTTGAGTGTGTTAACTCATTCTCTGGCCACCCAACTAAAGGGAAGAATGCTTGAATCCATTGAAGATAGCTGTCCCTGTATTTTACATATCCTTCCTTCCTTTGGAAGTTAGCACAATAATATGCACCTTGGATCACCTGGCCTACTTTAAAAGTTGCAAAATGAAACTATTTTTATTAAATAAATCTTGTACGATACCTTCCAAGTGTTGGGTGTTTAATGACAGCTGGTAACTCACATGACAGTTCTTTGGGGGTCGTGGGAAGCTGTGTTTTCCTATTACAGAAATGGTGGAGGAAAGGGCTGGAGTCGAGCCAGGGGTGGGCAGGGGGCTGGCCAAAGACTTTCCCTGTCTTTTAGTTGACAAGCTGTCCAACACTCCTGGGAGGCCCTCGATGTTGACGGTAGAGTAGATGTGGTCAGACTGTGCTGGGCTCCAACTCAGACAGCACCTCTAGACTTACCTCCCGTTGCTAACATCTGTTCTGCTGGCTTTACATCTCCCAACCTTGCTCAGCTGAGCTCCAGTATGCTAATGCTTTCTTGCCACTATTTGTCAAGGAAATTAACTAACTGTACAGCTCCGCCTTGCCTTGTTTATCTGTGTGCGTGCTGGGGTCTTTGAAGGTTGTACTGTGGAATTTGTACTGTGAGTTGAATATTAATAAGATAAGAAGAAATGAGTTTCTCTTTTCTAAAGCCTCATCCTGGCAGCACAAGCAACAAAGTCAGCTCACGTGTGCAGGCCTCAGTGTCCCGGCTGTTAGTACTCACCGTAACTGAGAGATTCGTTTAGGACCGTCTGGACTTCAGTAAAGTGTGCAAGAACTCAGTCTTGGACCTGAGTTGTGTGTTTTGCTTTGCTACAACTACTAAATTTTAGTCTTCTTTATGCCTTCTCTTTGAAGTGAAGGTTAGGCTTAGGAATGGCATTTAGCACAAGAAAATAGTTAAAGCATTTTATGCTCCTTAAAGAGATACTTAATATGCTTTTTAAAAAATTTCTGAAGCCGGGCAGTGGTGGTGGTGGCGGCGGCGGCGGCGGCGGCGGCGGCGGCGGCGGCGGCGGCGGCGGCGGCGGCGCACGCCTTTAATCCCAGCACTCAATAGGCAGAGCCAGGTGAATCTCTGTGAGTTCGAGGCCAGCCTGGGCTACCAAGTGAGTTTCAGGAAAGGTGCAAAGCTACACAGAGAAACCCTGTCTCAAAAACAAACAAACAAACAAACAAAACAAAACAAACAAACAAACAACCAAAAAAAATTCCTGAATATTCTACGTACAAATGTGTATTTCTATAGACTTTTCTTCCGAGAGTCTCTTGCCTTCCTCTCCTTGTCCAGGCTCTTAGCTTCTGTGCAAACCAGGTGGAGGGCCCATAGGTACGTGGCCCAGGTTGAGATATAAACGACACTTAAAAAGAGAAAGCTGAGGTGAGCAGGTTCACACTGTGAAACTCCATTCTGTTCTTTCCTTCCGCTGATTGACAGGTAAATCCAGATGCAATTCCTTGGTTGGTGAATGTTGCATTTTGCACTCTTACATTTTCTCTCCCAGGGAATACCAAAGTGTCCGACAGCAGTACAATACAGTCCTAACATCTTTTCCAGTGAAACGGATGACTTGAGTCATCAGTGTCCTTTGTTAGAGAAGTAGAGATGTCAAGATGAACTCCATGAATCCATAAACGTCGGGAGTCTGCCTAGTAACTGAAGGTCTGGGCTTAAGTTCTAGCCTTCGTAACTTGAGTTCAGGTGGTTCAACACATAGGAAGGAGCTTCTACTGTGTGCCACATGGGAGGCTGCCTAGAAGTCCTAATATATGTGAGAAAAGAGGACAATGGTGAAATTGAGTTAGTTTCCCAGCTACCCACGTCTTCTTTTTAATTCATGACTATTCAGCATTATGTTTTTGTTGTTGTTGTTGTTGTTTTTGTTTTTTTTTGTTTTTTGTTTTGCTAGTTGTGATATTGCACTTCTGAAAACCCAGCACTTGGAAGACAAAGGCAGGTAGATCATTGCAAGTTCAAGATCAGCATAGTCTACATATCAAGTTCTTGGACAAGCAGGACTATGTAGTAAGATCATATCTCTGAGAGACCAAGACGGGGGCTGGAGAAAGAGAGCTCAGCCAATAAAGTGCCTGTTCTGCAAGCGTGAAGACCTGAGTTAAAGGGCCAGGCATGGGGTAGGGGGTGTATTTATAAACCCAGAATGTCTCACCTAATTTGCAAGCCCTAGGTCAATGAAAGATCCATCACAAAAAGCAAGAAAGGCAACGTCAATGGAAGAATGATACTCAGAGTGTCCCCTGGCCTTCACACATGTGTGCATTCCCGCCTGCATATTCATATAAACTCACATAAAAGCCCCCATTTCCAAAGAATTATATACTTTTCCACATATTGTATAGCTAGAAAAAAATGTACAAATGGCAGTGTTATTACAATAAATGTTCAGATATGGGGATGGAGTCAATAACCAGTAAAAATTATAAGTGAATTGGGATTAATTTTTATTTCTACTAATAAATAAATAAAGTATAAAGTTTATTTGCCAAAGCTCCTGAAATTACTTCGGTTTCTAAGAGCCATTTTGTGGTGCTGTTCACCGAATCTCTGCCATGTGTAAAGCACGGTCTCTGGTCCCAATAGGAATCAAATTAGAATCCTAGCAACAGTAGGAAATGCTAGGAGCTAATGTGGAAAGTGTACTCACACAGGATGATGGCCTCCAAATGCTGTTGTTATTCCTGAATATTCTATTTACAAATGTGTATTTCTATAGACTTTTCTTCTGAGAGTCTCTTGCCTTCCTCTCCTTGTCCAGGCTCTCAGCTTCTGTGCAAACCAGGCAAAAGGTCCATGAGTAAGTGTCCCAGGTTGGGATGTAAATGACACTTAAAAAGAGGAAGCTGAGGTGAGCAGGTTCTCCTTGTGAAATTTCATTCTGTCCTTTCCTTCAGCTGATTGACAGGTAATTCCAGATGCAATTCTTTAGTCAGTGAATGTTACATTTTGCACTCTTACATTTTCTGTCTCAGGGAATACCAGCAACTAAAAGCCACCTCTCTGTGCTTTATTCTCAATTGTTTTCATTTATATAGCCCCAAGTTTCTGTAGAAATAATGTTGTAGAACATTCCTGTAGCAGGAATCTTAAAGAGTCTTATTAATAAAAACAAACCTGGAGCCAGGTACTGGGGTCAACGCTGGAAGATCAGAGAAGCAGAACAAACCATAGTCACTTCATCTCGCCAATGCCTCAGCTGATCCTGTTTCCTCAGACTGGAAGCTTCTTAGTCCTCATCCAAATGGATCTCAGCTGAACTGCTGCTCAAAAGCCTAAAAGCTTAACCAGGCCAGTCCCTGGTTTTCACGCCTTATATACCTTTCTGCTTCCTGCCATCACTTCCTGGGATTAAAGGCTCTTGTTACCATGCCTGGCTGTTTCCAGTGTGGCCTTGAACTCACAGAGATCCAGGCGGATCTCTACCTCTGGAATGCTAGGATTAAAGGTGTGTGTGCCACCATTTTCTGGCCTCTGTATCTAGTGGTTGTTCTATTTTCTGACCCCAGATAAGTTTATTAGGGTGTTATATGGGGGAACACAATATCACCACACATTCCTATTTACTACTTCATTGTAATTCTTTATCACCCTTGAGACTGAGTCGATAATCAATATAATTCCCATGATTCCCACTCAGTAAAGACCTGAAGTCACTAAGAAGTTGTATGAGTTGTTCAGGGACTAGCAAAAACAAGGATCAGATGTGCATCTCTAGTCTGCCCTATTATATTCCTTTTCGGTGAGTGCCTTGCTTGAAGAAGAGCTATTTGAGCATTCCATGAAAAAGCTGTAAAACATTTCATTGTAATAGCAATACAAAGAAGGGAAAGAAAAAAAAAATAAACGCATTCCACTCATCCAGTTTCACTTTCTAGATAGTGTTTGGTACAGACAGATCATTTTCAAATGTGGTCATGCCACACCACCAGCTCTATGTCTAGTAAATGTGATGCTTTTATTAATGGTATGAATGCCTTATGAAGAGAATTTAGTTTTTTCCTTATGCGTTCTCAGCTTCTATCATCTATGTATTGTTTCTGGGTTTGTAGGCTAGGCTGTGGTTGTTGGAGGTTGGAATCCATTTCTGACTCACTTTTATTTTTAATATCATCAGTAGTTAGCACTGAACCCTGCATAGAGTCTGAGCTCCATCCACACTTGCTGAACTAAGGGAGTAAATGATTGCTCCCGCAGGGTGGAGGGACACAAGTATTAATGGCACTGTTGACAATAGATGCTCTGTTGGCCGCTCTCATTCCTCTTCTCCTTTGAGGTCCTTGGTGGCTATGCCTGGCTCCCCTTTGTTTCTAGTAGCATAACTGGCAACTGTAAGCCTAACTAGACCTTGGCCTCATACATACATCTTTTGTAGTGGTATCCTGATTCTGTGAGTGTCCTTGGTTAAAAGGGCCAAGAAAGGGGGGATGGAAAAGAGAATTCCTTCAGAATTTTTCCATCCTATTTGAAGCCCTGAAATTGCTCTAGATGCTTTACCTGTGTCAAGCTATTTAGTCTACTCAGTGTCTTCAACAAACAAACCAAAGACACAGTAATTTGTTGACCTCAAGGAGCTGGTAAGTGGCAGAGGAAGAATTCAAGCCCCCTGTTACCACTGTATCACCCCGACTCTTGATGGAGGTGCATGAAGTCTCAGCAAAGATCAGGAAGAAGAAGGAAGAAAAGGAGGAAACAGCAGTCACTAGCAGAGAATCAGTGACAACCAGCCACTACTGTGGCAACAGCACTAGAGAAGCACGAAGTCCCAGATGCCAGTAATAACTGTAGCCTTGTGTGATTCATTCCATTTGATCTCTCTGGCCTCACTCTTCTAATCTGCTCAGTGGGTGAAATTATTCTAGACAAATCTCACTCAAAATTGTGATATGAGACCACATTTTGAAAAAGAATTAAGGATAAAGTAAGTAACTTTTAAACTATATATTTTAATAGCTCTTATATATGGCAAAATACATTTTATCAGTTATTCTCAACAATTCCTCATATAGCACCTATCATTAGCTTTACTCCACTAAGTAGGAGTACAAAATGAGCAATATCGGTCTCTATA